AAGTCTATACTGTATTAATAAGAAATATCAAAAGTGACACCTTACTGAGTGTGGTTTTTGCTAGCAGCTCCTATAGCGTTGTGCCTCTGAAGGCTTGGAACATTCAAGGACTTTTATGTATTTTAAAAAGCATAAGCTCTTCAAAAAAAACAGGACACCAGGGCATGGCAGTCTCTCATGTAGACATTAGTCCTGCTTTTCAGGATGGGGGAGGATGCAGAGAGCCAGTGAGGTGCTGTGGAAGCCAAAACACTGGCACTGGGGAGTGATGTTTCCAGCTGGGAGTGAAGGTTTGCAGGCTCTCGTTTTCCCTGGCCTCAGAGGGCCAGAGCTGCTGCTGACCTGGGAAGCTCTGCCCAGGCTGCAAACTCTTCTTGCCCTTGTGTCTGTGGTGCTGTGAAGCTGGGAGGTTTGCTCAGCAGTGGGTGCCCTCAGCAGTGTCTGGCAGGTATTGATGGTTTCTCTGCTCTGTCTTACTTCTGGCCCTTGGACTTGATTTCCATGCTATGGACTGGACATCACACCTGTAAAACACAGCCATGCTTCTGTCCCACTCCTTGTAGGAGAGATGCTCCTTTGCAATGCAGTAACAAATAGAGATAACAAGACACCATCCATTTTCATCATGTCCTCAGCGAGACCTGAAACTCTGAAGAAAATCCCTAAACACTGAATTAGGAGGGTTTTTTCCTCCCCCAGGCTAATTTCGGGCCTCTTCTACCAAATCTTCTGTATCATAGCTTCATCCTCTCCCATCTGGGTTTCTGCTGCCTGTGCCATTCCCACACTGTCCTCTGAGCAGGCAGGGTGCTGAGGCATAGGGAAGACCTTGTTTTATCCAAGGAAAGGCATTTATTTTTATATTCCAGTATCCCATCTGCTGCCAGGCCCCGGGCAGAGTGTCTGGGAAGCAGTCGTGCCTGTAAACTGGAGCCGAGTCAGCACGACTGGTTATTCAGTCTCAGCTCTGGAGCTGCCTCAGTCTCTCATCCCTTGGGATTTTCCTGACAGAAAACCAAGAAGCTACCCTTGAGAGGAGGATGCTTTTCCCCATTGCCTGTTTCAGGAAGATCAACCCCTCATGCTATGCAGGGGAAGGAGCTCTGCCCATGGGCTTTCCCAGGTTTCCCACTGGAAAGGGGCAGGCCTGGCCCTTTCTGTAAGGTCAGCAAAGTGGTGGCCTCCACTGCCTGCACCAGTCGTGGGGCCTGTGGTGGTGCCAAGAAAAATGGAGCAAAGAAAGGATCATCATGTGGAGTGGCAGGGTTTTCCTGCCCTGAAATCATGGTGGGATACCCTGTGGAGCTGTGGATCTGTCTGCATCTTCCTCATGTGTGCCTTCACAGCACCTGCACCATGGGCATTATGGTCTTCTGTTGCTTCTCTAATTTTCCATCCATTCATAGAGAAGAAATTAGTTTTTGTCCCCTGCACAGCTCAGTGTGGGGAGGAAAGATGTTGATTTTTGTGTAAAATATGCCCATCTGTTTAGATTACTGTGTTTAAAACAAAAAAAAAAAGAAAAAAAAAAAAAGCCCCTTTACTGAACTGAAGTACTTGTTCCTGCCTTTGTCCAGGGATGACTTTGACCTCAACCTTTCCCATTTTCTCATGGCCAAAAAAAATCCCATAGTTGTTTGAGGCAGAAAATACTAGGGTGGCTTGTTGCAAGAAGAACATCTGGGTAATTAATTCATCTGGAAATAAGGTTAAACATCTGGTGAACATTGCTAGACAGCTTTTTTGCAGGTTAGTGTTTTGAGTTTTGTCCTCAGTGAAAATGCGTGTGTGAAGGCATGACCTACTCTACAGCTGAACCCTGCTGCTGAATCTAGTTCTTCTCCCCACTGCTGAAATTCCTGGAGATGGGCAATGCTGCCAGAGCTGCAAATTCTGCTGTGCGGCATGGACAAGGTCCATGGTTTGGTTTGCTCGTTGGTCCTGGGGGTCTTTCTGGTCGGGATGGCTCTCCTGCAGCACGCTGCTGGGGCTGCCTGCTTCTCTTTAGGATACAATTATCTTAGGGGAAAACTACTCCCATGCTGTGGAGCCAGACATTCCTATGGCAAGAACAGATGGAAATCAGCTGCAATGGATTTCCTGTTTTTTAAAATGCCCACATTTCTACTGCAGGGAGTGGTGGTCCTGTGGGCAGGGAGGTATGTTGTAGCATGAGTGGAGCAGCAGTCTCTGAAAGTGTCTCAGTGGATTTTTCCAGCCTAGTGAAGATTTATTATCCTGGTTGAAATGCTGTTGAGGCAGGTTGTGCCTCCAGCCCAAAGCCCAGGTGCTGACTCACATGCAGTTGCTTTTAAATTGTCATTCATTCATTGTGACAAAGGCTGGTGCCCTTTTAATCTGCTGGGCTGGGGAAAGAGGGTGTTTTAGTGAGGGTTTGCACAGGTGATTTTTCTACAATATTTTGGAAAACAGGTGAATTGTGCCCCTTGGTCTGGCTGGGAGCATTTTGAACTCTGCTCCGCCAGAACAGTTGCTGTTGAGTTTCTCTCTTCTCCCTAAGAATTTCAGGATGTTTTCATTTTTCCTGGTGTTTCATAACTTCTCCCAGCACATAGCTCTGCTTAGCTTCCCCCACCTTCTCCTACAGTGCAAAACTCAGGGATTTTTCCTGAAGGCAGGAA